CTTCATTGTTCTGTGAGGTCGTAGCCTCCATCATAGGTCACTTCATTCATCCACCATGGTCAGAAGCTCCCTTTCTTTGTTCTAGTCCATGTGAATGTGTTTCTGTCCCTCTACATCCTACCCTCATTCACGCCCTCTTTGTGTGGGCCTCCCTTCCACATTTTATCTCCCAACTGATAATCTGCCTTACTTGGGTTCACTGTAAGACCTAGCTACTCCAGGAAGACCCCCCAGATTAATAAATATGGCCATGGGACATGCAGAAAAGGCACATAAACCTAACACCTTAATCTCTCCTCTCCCTTGCCCTACCTAGGGTCATGGGATTGTATAGTTAGAGCTGGAAGAGATCTTTTTAGGTCGTAAATTTTTAGAGCTGGATGGGACCTCAGCAACTGTCTAGTCCAACTGATAGCCCCAAAAGAATACTGTCTATACCTGATGGGCGGTCTTTTAGCCTCTGCTTGAAGACTTTCAATGAGCTCATCTTATTCATCCTCCCATTTTACAGATGAGGAAATTAAAGGCCACAGAAATGAAGTGACTTGTCCAGAGTCACAGAGATTGCAGTGGAGCAGGGCTGAAGTTTAAGTCCAGGTTCTCTATGATGCCAAGGCCAGGACCTCTCACACGAGATTGCACTGAGGGAGAAAGGGGAGAATAAGAGAAAAGGCATAGGAGAGGGAGAGGAGAGAAAGAGGAGGGGGAGAAGATAGGCAGAGAAGAAGATAAAGGGGGCAGGGGGGTAGAGAGGGAGAGAGCACAGAGAAGGGTAAGAGAGAAAGAGAGAGAGAGGTAGGGAAGGAGCAGGGAGATAGAGATGGCAAGGGGAGAGGGAGGGAGACATAGAGTTGGGCAAGAGAGGAGAGAGGAAGATGGAGACGGAAGGAAGGAGAGAGGAGAAACATGGGATGAGGAAGAGATGTAAAGGAGAGAGAGAGAGAGAGCTGACTTGTCCATCCTCTTTTGTTATAAATTCACAGAGTATAGAGCCCCTTTTTTACCTGGCATGTGTAGGGAGCACCCCGCAGCATTAAACAAAGCTGATTTCTTTGGAAGGTCAAGTTTCTCAAGGTCCCAACCTCAAAAGCATTGGGAGTTTCCTGTATGGGGATAAAATTGGCTTCCTGACACCAGGAGCTTTGCCTTCTGATTGTTTTTTTTTGTCCCTGATCCTTTTAGGTCTGTTTATTTCTTTGTTAAAACAGGGGGGATAAAAAGGTTTCTTCCAAGGGGCATTCCACATTCCGAGGAGCCACTGAGTGGCAATTTATCACTTTGTATAGCACCTAGCAGAGCACAGAGAGGCCCTTCCCCCCAGCTAAAGCTTTCACTAAGGGGAGGAGGCTAATAAATTGCTTGGAAAATCTTCATAATTCTGCATAAATGCTTCTGTTGGTTGTTGTATTTACAGAGGCAGTTACTGGTTGACTACACCATTGAGTCAGTTCTCAATGATAGAAGCCTATGTTAACGATTAAAAATGTCAATGAGAAGTTTCCTCCATCCTGGTGAAAGCCACCATTTCTGCTTGTGATGGACCAAAAAAAAATCATACCAGACATACAACACCGACTCAGTCTGGCTGCTGCCCATGTTTCACTTCAGGGAAAGATGGCAGCCTTATCCTGAAATGACTTATTTTTTTAATGGTTATAACACTTTCCAAATTGTAGTTATTGCATCTTTAATAGAAATACTCAGGATTGTATTTCACAATTCCAAGCAAGGCAGCAGTCTGAAACTGAGCATAGCTTGGGAGGAAACATATGGTAGAGTGGAATGAAAAACAGTAGATTTGGAGCCACTTAAAACCTGTGTGTGACCTTAAACAAATCATTTCACTTTTCTGGACCTTATTTCCCTCGTGTATAAAATTCGAGAGGTGGGATATCTGCTCAGGCTCCTTCCGGTGAGAAATCTAAGAGCCTGTGATCCTATGTCGCTTACCTTCCTGGCTCTCCGTTTCCTTGTCTCCAAAATGAGGGGATAGGACCAGCTGACTGCTAAGGTTCCTTCCAGCCGTAGATCTCTGAGTCCAGGATCTTTAGTTAATTTCTCTGGGCCTCTGTTTCTTTATCTTTTAAGGGAGGGGGTTAAACTAGATAACCTAAGTTCTTTCCAGCTGTAAATTAATTTTCCTGACCATGGGCCAGTTGGTTAGGAGGGTGGCAAGCAATTAAGACATGAAATTATTTGGATTTCTCTTCTATAACTAGCTAACACTAAGAAGAATGAAAACAAACCAACCCCATGGAGAAAGGGCCCTATTTTAGTCATGATTTTCAATATATAGAACTCTTGCCTATTCTAAAAGTCTCTTCCCACGTTGTTATCTCGCTTTCTCCACACTACCACCAAAGCCATTGTATGATGCTGCTTACCTTACGATGTACAATATCTGCTTCACTTCGTTACCGATCCTGGCCTACAGCTTGCTGGAACAGCACATCAGCATTGACGTTCTCACCGCTGATCCCAGATTGTATATGTAAGTTGAAAAGCACAGTGGCATTGGAGGGGGGGGGGGGGAGGAAGGAGGGGGGTAGGAGGAGCTGCCCATCACTCTAGTTGACCCAGTTCCCCATGTGTTTTTTTGAGTGTCTAGGGATCCCTTTCGAGAGTTCTGATTTCCAAAACTCTGATATCAGTTTGTTGTCTATTGGAATAAGGCAGTGGGGGTAGAGTGGCTCCAGGGCCAGCCTGGAAACCAGGAAGCCTGAAGTTCAAGTCTTGCTCTTGTTCTTATTAGCTGGATGGTCCTGGGTACGTTGCTTCAGCTATGTGCCTCAGGCAGCTTCCTGGGACTTATCTAAGGAGTCATAGTCAAAGCAGTGGGGTGGCATCATGGCCAGAGTACTTTACTTGGATTCAGAAAGACCTGAGTTCAGATTCTGCCTCAAGATACCTTGAGCTATGTGATACAGGGCAAGTTACCTAACCTCTCTCAGCCTCAGTTTCCTCATCTGTAAACTGAGGGGAATAAAAACACCTGTCCTCACACAGGGTTGTTGTGAGATTCAAATGAGATAACATGTGAAGCACTTTCATTATATAAATGTGAGCAATGATGATGATGGCAATGGCCTAGGTGCTTACTGGTTGCTGAGTGGAGCTCACACAAAATCCCAGGCTGTTTATGGATTTGCAAAGTGAGATAAAAAAGAAATGACTACTTGGACCACTTTCAAGACCTGTACTTAAACATGTAAGAAATCATCAGTTGAGAATTCCTGGCTCCCATCAGATTTGCAGTGGATTTGAGTAGAAGTTACAAAGAGGCCAATCTAGGCAAGATGTCAGCAGAAACTTCCTAATAGTATGGGCCATCCCAGAGTGGACTAGGCTGCCTTGGGAGTGTAAGCGTGTGTGTTTGTGTGTGTGTGTGTGTGTGTGTGTGTGCGTGTGTGTGTGTGTGTGTGCACGAACGAATCCCAAGGTCTTTAGCCAGATGTGTGTGGTCTGACCATGTTGTAGCAAGGTTTTTTTGGAGGTGTGCATTGGATTGGATTAGATGGCCTAGGATCATTCCCAACTCTGTAATTTTAGGGTCCATTTTTCAGTAGGTCAGGGGAGTGCCATTGGTGCGTTTCCTACAGGGGAAGCCTCCGAAAGACCTTATGTTCGTGAACAAAAGATTTTTAGTCATTTTGATGACTGAGCTCTACCTGGGCAGAATAAAGACGGTGAGAATCATTAGCCTCTAACTCACGTAATGTTCCAGAGACATTTTTCCCCCTCTTAATCAGGCTCCAACTCTGCAGTTTTCTTGAAGAGCATAATTAATTCAGAGAGTCAAAGAAAAAAATGGATTTGTCTTGAAATAGCTGTGTCTCCTTATGGATGGGTAACTTGGAATTGTCCCCAGCAACTGGCCTATTATTAAATTGGATTTTTTTATGTCAGAATTATAATGAAGGATGAAGATGTTAATCTAGAGGATTGCTGAGTAGTGGGTGCCAGTTACCTCCTTTATAAAATGAGAGGGTTGGACCAGATGACCTCCAGGTCTCCCTTGGAAACTGAAATTTAGGATCCTATGATCCCTATGTAGGGCAAGAAAGAGGAATGATGATGTTAGTAGATGCCCATCTGGAATGTGAGGAACTGGAATAGTAAACCAAGAGGCTTAGAAAACCAGCACCTGTCATTTGTATTACCTTAGTGCTAAAAGGGACATGGGAGAGATCTGGTCCTATCCCTTCATTTTACAGAGGGAAAAGCTGAGGTCTGGAGTGGGGCCAGGGACTTACTAAAGGTCACCCAGGAAATGAGTGGCCCAGCTGAGACTTAGCCCCAGGGCTCCTGGTGCTCTTTTTTCCACTGTCTCGGGCTTCTCTTTCAAATGCTGATAACTTGTTGAAATATGAGGGCAGAGTGGTGGTCAGGGGGTGGCGGTAGGGGGGAACAAGCTTATGTAACATCCTTGATTGACTGCACTGCAGATAGAGTTCATGAATTTTTGAACTGTCTTGCTTGGGAGTTTGCGCTTTGCCAGAGATGATGCTGGAATCAATACTGTGTCCTAGCAACTCCCCCTCAGCCGGCCCAAGTTTGCCTTCTTGCTGTTTCTTTGCCAGACACATCAGGTCCTGCTCTCCCCATGTTGCTGTATCTTTATGTACCAGAGGGCCTGGGCTCCCTTTGCTTGCTTTTCAGCCTTGTTTTTAGTGACTCACCTGCTTGTAAAGGCTCCCACCTCAAATAGGAGATGTACTTGGCCTTTTTTTTTATTTATAAAAGCTTAATGAAAATGGCATATGGTGTTTCTTCTAAAGAGGAAACAGGGTTCTTCCTTCTTCCCCACTCTTTCCCCCGCTGAAAATTTAGCCATGAAAAGTAAACTGAGAATCAGGAAGATCCTCTTTTAGATCCCACCTCTCACATATACTATATGACCCTGGGCAAGCCACCTAATTTCTTGATGCTCCAAGCCACTCTCCAAACTTTAATTTCCAGATTTAAGCTCCCTGTATTCTCAACACCGATGAAATCACAGGTCTGTACTGGAAAAGAAAAGAAATAAAAAATGATTTAGCAAGGGGAAGAAATTCATCCTCTTGCCTGCTGTGCTAAGATGGAAGGCCAGGTCCCTTTGTTATATGAGGTGTAAATTGGCTCCTCTCTTTAAACAAGTACACTTACTTCCTCTTCCCAATTTTTGATTCCTTTTTTGCCTCTTCTCTTCGAATCACAAAAAAACTCACATTTCTAGAGCATCCTAAGGCTTACAAAGCCACTTGCTTCACAGCAGTCCTCTGATGTAGGTAGTATGACCATTATCATCCCATTTTACAGAGGAGAGAATTGAGGCTTAGAGAGTGGAAGGGATTTGCCCACAAGCACAGCAGGAATCGATGTGCATCCTGGTCTTGTGGACATGAAGGCCAGCAGCATCTTGTTCCTGCTCTGCTACCCTATCTCATGGGATACTAGCATGCAATGGCTGGAGGGCTAGACTTGGAGGCAAGAAGACTTGGGCTCCAATCCCACCTCAGATAATTCCTAGCTGTATGACCTTGGATAAGTCATTTCCACTCTCTGGATATTATGTGTAAAATGAGGATGGTAATGCCCGTAGCGCCTACTTCCTGGGGCTGTTGTGAGACTCAGATAAGAGAATGAATGTGAAGAGTGCTTGAGCAATTTTAAAGGGCAGTGGAGTTGGCCACCAGTAGTATTGTTGGAGCTGGTAAGAACTTTAGAGGTTGTCTAGATCACACATCTCTTTTTTTTTTGGAAGCGGGGAGGCAATAGGGTTAAGTGATGTGCCCAGGGTCACACTGCTAGTAGGTGTCTGAGGCCAGATTTGAACTGAGGTCCTCCTGACTCCAGGGCCAGTGGTTTATCCACTGCAGCACCACCTAGCTGCCCCCATACGTCCTTTTACAGAGGAGAAAATAGACTCAGAAAGATGATTGACACTTGCCCCAGGGTTGCTGTGTCACACTGCCCCATAGACAGCTAGAGCTGAAAGGGATCTTAGAGGTCTTCCAGACCACTGAGGTCAAACTCAAATAGAAATACATCTCTGCTGGCCTGTGTCTATTGACTTAGAAAACCACAAATTAACATTATCTATGTTATATTGTATTTTACTTCTTGTTAAACATTTCCCAATTACATTTTGTTCTAGTTCAGGCCAGACCACACTCCTTTTACGGAGGAGGAAGCTGAGGCTCAGTGAGGCAAGAGCACAGACCCAACCAAATGCTCTTTCCTTTGTGTTACATCTTGTTGACCTTCCTTTTCCTGGTTTTGCCATTCATGTATATGCATTACACAGTGGAAAGAGCACTGGACTTGGGGTCAGAAAGGCCTGAGTTCGAATCTCACCTCTGCCACTTACTAAGTGTGTGCCTGTGGGCAAGTCACTTTACCTCACTATGCCTCAGTTTCCTCCTCTGTCAAATGATGGGATTAGGCTTGACCATCTCTAACATCCCTTCTAAATCTAGATCTATGATTGTATATCTTCTATCAATATTATTACAAAGCCCTATGTGTGGTCACCTCCCTCCCTCTCCTTGAAAAGTTAGTTTTCTTCTTTTATCCATTGTCCTAATCTATGGCATTACAGTGACTATTGAAAGCCAATGAGTAAGCCAAGCAACAAGCATTTATTAAGTGTCCCCTTTGTGCCAGGCACTGTTCTAAGTAAGCCCCTGGGGCTACAAAGAAAAATAAAAGAGATGTCTTCTGGTCATCTCTGGGATAGGGCTTTGGATAGCATGCAAAGGACATAGGGAAATGAGAGGTACCCTTCAGTGCTGGGGCAGGTGGCTTAGCAACATGGCTGCTAGAATCTGGGGGGCAGGTGGCCTTGTTCTGGCCTTGTTCCCTCCCTTCTGCCATCCTTTCTGGGCTGTCACCTGCAGAAGTGGAGGGTGCCACCTGTGCCTGAGCAGCTTTTAGCTTTCTTATTCCCAGAGGCCTCTACTCATGATCTTTGTGGTCATTTTGCACTGTCACCTCATGGGTGCTCCTAGCTGAAATAGCCATGCTTAACAACAATACTCAGTAAATATGTAGACACTTCTGAGTGCATCTAAAAGAGATCTTTCTCTGCATGTGTGAGTAACATCTTAGGAAGCACTGGTAGTAGGTAAAGCATTTGGGTGACTAGATACCTTTTGATAAATGCTGAGAAGGATTTACCAGAGAAACTAAAGGCAGCATCCATATGAGCCCATAGTATCTATGTCTGGAATAGAAATCACTATTTAGCATTTGGCCTCCCATTGAAGCAATGCAGTGTATTGGAAATAACACTGAGATTGGAGGTGAAGGACCTTGGTTCAAATCCTGGCCGTGTTACTAGTTCTATGACCTTGGGTGAGTTATTTAATCTCATTGGGCCTCTGTTTCCTCATCTGTTAAATGGAGGGACTGGATCTGATGATCTCTAAGGTTCGTTTTCCATGATCCTAAGATATGATTTTTGAGTGATTTCATTATTCTCTTAATCACCTACCATCCAATATGACAATATTGAAATCATTACATTTTCAGAGTCAACAGGAAAGGCATAAAGGACATTTTCTTAAAGATCCGAATTTCTAAGAGAAGCTCAGAATTAAACATTAGCATTTTATCAATGATAGTTTTGTCATAACCAGAGTTCTAGGTTAATATCGTTGGTCAAGGCATCATCCAGATGACTCGAGTTGGTACCTTTCAAGCCACCAGAGGGAGCCCTCTTCCAGTATAACCATATGCCCACTACAGTATTTGCCCTCCGTTTGGGGGTTTCTTGCGTTATTCCCTTGGAATGGCAATATGGGGAAAATGCTTTAACCTGCCCTTTTTCTGTACCATTTCCTGATAGGAAAATTTCTGACAACGCCAAGCTAAAGTGGGGCCCTTTCTTGTACTGGACGTTTCTGTCTGCCTTTGAAGGAACCGTGTTTTTCTTTGGTACTTACTTCCTTTATCAGGCTACAACTTTGCAAGAGAATGGAAAGGTAAAGTTTGGGCTTTTAGGCTTTAATTATGTACTGCTAAATATTATATGGGGATGTCATCTGTGACTGCTTGTTGTCTGCTGCTCACCAGGAGACCCTTACCCTTGACTAGAGTCACTTGTAATGGGCTGGAAGTGAGAATGCCTTTGATCACACATGGACGAGCTATAGTATACTTTGCTCTGTGTAGAACTTGAAGTTTTCATCTAGCTCTAAAGTTGTGGCCTTAATTTGGTTGTAATTTTTTGCTGAAGTGGTCACTGGCTAATGACCTTAAGATTTTAAAAAAGAAAAATGCCTACTTGAGATGTACATAATTACTATTTCTGTTTGATTAAAATATTCAGGCATTATTGATTGCCTGCTATGTCCAAGAACGTGTGGTAGAAATGGGGAGAAATGTAAAGATGGAACTCATCCGCTGAACCCCATTTGGCGTCTGTGAGTCGCAGGGCAGACCATTTGGAGGTTTCACACAGTGGGTTGGAGTGGAGAGGAAGACTTTACCTTCCTTTGGGGTAGGCTCTGGCTGGCTCACCAGGCAACCAGGGCTTGGCTATTCCCCTTCCTCAGCACTGGCCTTCCCTAACCACCCCTATGGCTGTCGGAGCATAGCGACTGACTGCCCAGGCATGACCCTGGAAGGGGAGCTCCGAGGGTTGCCAAGAAACGCTTTTCCACTGGAGAACAAGAGGCCTCCAGCCATACTTCTGAGAATTGAGGCCAGCGCATCGCATCCTTTGCTTTAATTACATCCTGTCGACTTCAGGGGGCCTTGTTAGAGGTGTTCACATTTATACTCTATTGAACTTCATAATCTGCCTCCAACTGACCTTTGTGGCCTTGTTTCACACTCTTCTATTTCCTTGTATTCTTCATTCCAGCCAGACTGTACTACCAATTGTTTCTCAGTTCCCTTTCCATATCTGTGCAGTCACCCAGGCCATTCCTTGTGCTTGGGATTGTTCTCCTTCCTCTCTGGGCTTCTTGAAATCCCAGGCCCAACGCAGGCCTCACCTCCTTGGTCTATACCCCTACTCACAGGTGAAAGTGCGCTATTCTTCCTCACACTTTTCCCAAAGTGCTTTCTATGGCTTTCTCATTTTAAGGCCAGCTACCTTGTGGCCTGCTTCTCTGTACACACTTTAAACCTTGCTCCTTGAAGCCAAGAACAGAACCATTTTTCATATTTACATACATTTACATCTAGCCCAAGGCCTTCCTTGTACATAGTAGGTGCTTAGTAGAGGTTTGTTGTTGAATTAATGAAACCCTAATGTTCCCCATCAAGTGGCAAGCTCTAAGATCTAATTATAAAGTGGGTAAGATCAGCGAATTAGAGCGACATTGTTAAGTGAGAGACCGCAATCAAACCTCACGACTTTGGACTAATTGAAATTTGGCCATCTGAATCAGCAAACGTTCTGAATGACCGAATAGTTTTCTAAAAAAGTCCAGTCTGATTACTTTCTGGTCTATGCAGTAACTCAGATTGTGGCTGACAAAGTGGCCAAAGGGGTTACTTTCCAGACCTGCCTTAAGAAAAGCATTCTAAGCATCATTTGTAATCAGCACATTAATTGTCTGCAAATAGCTCTTGGGAAAAGAAATGTTTCCCAAATGGGTAAAAAGACCCCTGGGAGCTTGTTTGCCCTGTTCATTTGCTCAACAGAGTCTTTTTTCAGCTTGCACAAGGGGAAACTTCAGCCTGGCCTCTGTCCAAATTATTCCAAATGGGTGCCATCTCATTGCCTCTGCCACCGTTCCAGTAAATGCTCGTTAAAATGACCGATGAGTGCAAGAACTGCTCCCAGCAATTAATCCTAGCACCCATGCGTGATTTGATTGAATCTTTTCCTTTTCCCTTTTTTTTTTGCTTCATTTAAATAAAAAAAGAAACTTTCACATCTTGTTTTCTGTCAGATCTTGACCACATTTGGTAAGCACATATATGCCATTCATTGACTACACTTGGATTGATTCAGACTGCTTTTCTTTCTTGTTGGGCCAATAGTCAGTGGGCTCTTGAAGCCTGCATGGTAGGTTGGAGCTGGAAAATGGGAAGCCCCATCATGTTTTATTGCTGCCATCATTGAGGAATAGAGCCCCCAAGTGGCTTTTTGGTTTTCCAGAGAAAGAGCCTATCTGAATCTTTAAAGACCAAAGTCATCCAAATGACTTGTTCCCATGAACGTTACTGTCAGGGTCGGGGGTGGGGATTCCTGCCTTTGCCATACCTGTGATTTAATGCCTGGGCCTCCCATGCAGTGTGGGAGAGATTCAGCAGCAGCATCACAGACAGATGTGGGGTCCTCCTTGGGGAGCAGCAAAGGCCACACTCAAACCCTGAAATGTGATTCTACCTCTGTAGACAAAGTGACTGGCTCTGAGTGATTTCAGTTGGCCAATGAAATACAAAATGGTACATGTAACTCTCTGATTGTTTTTTCAGGTTTATGGGAACTGGACTTTTGGAACTACTGTTTATACAGTCCTAGTAGTCACTGTAACACTGAAGGTTAGAGATTTTAAATTATTGTCATTATTATTGTTCAGTTGTGTTGAAAGAACAGTTTGTCCTTTCGATTTGCTTCCTAAATTGGTTTCGTGATCTTCGTTTTGAAAGTTGCTTGTTACTCGTTATAACCCTTTTTTTCTGACCTCTCCCCAAGATGCTGAACATCCAGGTTTCATCAGTGATTCCTTTTTCTTAGGATGTTTCCTCTCCATTGTGTGTGTGTGTGTGTGTGTGTGTGTGTGTGTGTGTGTGTGTGTGTGT